GAGAGCGTCGAGGTTCGTATTCGACCTCGAAATGTCGAGGTTCGGACTCGACCTCAAATTTGAGATAGGTTATTTAATTAAGGTTCGAACTCGACCTTTAACGAGAGCGTCGAGGTTCGTATTCGACCTCGGAATGTCGAGGTTCGGACTCGACCTCAAATTTGAGATAGGTTATTTAATTAAGGTTCGAACTCGACCTTCAACGAGAGCGTCGAGGTTCGTATTCGACCTCGGAATGTCGAGGTTCGGACTCGACCTCAAATTTGAGATAGGTTATTTAATTAAGGTTCGAACTCGACCTTTAACGAGGGCGTCGGGGTTCGTATTTGACCTTGGAATGTCGAGGTTCGGACTCGACCTCGAATTTGAGATAGGTTATTTAATTAAGGTTCAAATTTGACCTTCAACGAGAGCGTCGAGGTTTGTATTCGACCTCGGAATGTCGAGGTTCGGACTCGACCTCAAATTTGAGATAGGTTATTTAATTAAGGTTCGAACTCAACCTTTAACGAGAGCGTCGAGGTTCGTGTTCGACCTCGGGTTTAGGCATTTGCGCACTTAGAGTTCATTTTCGTCCTTTAGATAAATAGGAAATTAAGAATATGAGATGAGCGAAATGAGTAATATTATTTATGGTGTCTATGTACCTCGTTAAAAACCCTCTCAGTCAAAGGCTGAGGCGGGAAAAGAGTGCACAAATTTGTTCATACTGAAAGATAAAGAAGACTTGAAAACTTAAGGAGCTATGGTGGGGGGATTCCCCTCGCTTTGCTTGCTCGACGAGGATCTTCAGGCTTTCGGCGTAGCATTGCCGAGCTGTTTTCTGATTAGCTTTGACGGAGATGATTTTACCGTCCTTGCCCGGGAATTTCATGGTGAGGTGTGGGGTGGACACTACTGCCCCGAGTTGATTCAAGGTTGGCCTCCCGATGATGATGTTGTAGGAAGTGTTGGCTTGCACGAGGAGGTACCGGACCATGACCCGCCTTGTATCCGGTGGCGTTCTGAAAGTCGTCAGCAAGTCTACGTACCCCAGAGTGTGAACTCGCTCTCCGGCGAAGCCGTCGAGGGGCTCCATGTGAGGTTGAATGAGAGAGTGGGGAACGTCTAGCTTGAGGAACGTAGGCCAGTACAGGACGTCGGCCGAGCTTCCCTGGTCAATGAGTGTTTTCTGCACTTTCCAGTTGGCTATTTCCACAACGATGACCATGGGGTCATCTTGGTTAGGGCTGACGCCGGCGTAGTCTTCGTCGGAGAAGGAGATCGACGGTGAGCTTTGGTGGAGGGCTGGGGTGGTAGAGTGGACGCAGTTGATGCTCCACAGGTGTCTTCTTCGGGCCGAGCTGCTGGTGCCTCCTCCAGCAAAGCCACCTGCTATTGTGATGATTACTCCCCGTAAGGGGGCCGACTTTGTCTCTTGGCTTGTTTCGGCTTGTATTGCGCCGCCAGCATTTTGCTGGGAGCCCGGGTGTGACTCAGTGCGAGCTCCTGAACCTTGACCTCTGCCGCGTCCTCGACCTCCATAGCCGCCTCTATTACCCTGTTGTCACTGGATATATTGGCCGAGATGGCCGCTTGAATGAGCTCCTCGATGCGATCCCGGAGTGTGCGACATTCTTCCGTGGTGTGACCATGGTTCCTGTGGTACTAGCAGTGCTTAGACTTGTCGGCGCTGTTGGGAGTGTGACCCGGCGGTGGGAGGGCGAGCAGATTGTTGCTGCTGGCTTCCTCTAGGATGTGTACCCTAAGCGCGTTTAGGGGAGTGTAGAAGTCGTATCTCCCCCGTCTGTTTGCCTTAGTCGACTTCTTGAATTGGCTGTCGTTGTTGACTTTGATTTTATCCTTATGCCCTTGTTCCGATTTTGCTGGGGCTTTCCCCCGAATCTGGTCGCGGAAGGCGGAGTGCTCCTCCATCTAGATGTATCCCGCCGCGCGGGCGCGGAGCTCGTCCATGTCGCAGGGGGGGTCTCGACAGAGGCTGTCGACAAAGGGGCCAGCTTTGAGGGCCATGAGCATGGAGTGCAGGGCGACTTTGGGGTTTAAGTTCCGGATCCTCACCGAGAAGCTGGAGAAGCGCTCCATGAAGGTTCGCAGAGGTTCGTGATCATTCTGCCTGAGGTTGGCCAAAGCAGTAGAGGTTGTGTGGTGAGGTCGGCTGGTGGCGTATTGTGCCGTAAACCGCCGGATTAAGGTGCTGAAGCTGTCGATGGACTCGGCGGGTAACTAGGTGTACCAGTGGAGCGCGGCTCCTTTGAGCGAGGTAGGAAAAACCCTACACAGGATAGCATCACTGTTAGTGTAGAGGTTTACCTGGGTCGTGTACAGGTCAATGTGCTCATCGGGGTCCGTCGTGCCGTCATAGCGGTCGAGATGGAGAGGCTTCCATCCACGGGGGAGTGGGGTCTCCATGATGCCGTCCACAAAAAGATGTCGGCGGAAGGTTTCGTGGCCTTCTGTGGCACGTGTGGGTGCTCTGCTGACATTTGGGCCCGACTTGTGCATCGATGCATGAGATCGGTGCGTGGCGGGTTGTGAAGTCGGTGCCCTGGTCGTAGCCCGGGATTGAGAGGCCGAGTGTGCCTCGTTTTCATGGATGTTGCTTCCGTGAGGAGGGCAATCAGAGGGGCGTCGAGGGAGTTGGGCGCGAATGCGCTCGTTTTCTTCACGTAACGCTGCGAGGTCTGCCTCATTAGCTGTCCGCATTGCCGCTAGGTCGGCTTCGTGCTTGGCGCGCATGTTGCGCATGTCAGTGTCATGCTGCTGTCGCATCTGTTCGACTTGGTCGATCAGTCTTCTCAAGGTTGCAGCGTCGCTGTCCATGGTGATTGAGTGTTCAGCGTCGTCTGTTACTCGTCTGCTATGGCTTCTGGTGAAAACCATACAGGTGGCCGATAAGGGCTGTCTCGATCGGCCTCACGGTGGGCGCCAAATGTTCTTACCGGAAATCTGCTGTAGAGCTAATCCGCCAGGTAAGATCGGTGAGCCTCCTTCACGGGTACGCTGGTGCTCCAAGATGGGGGTGGTACCTGCAAAAGTGACTCCGATGCTCAAGTTAGGGTTTGTATGAGTAGTAGTCTTGTATATGTAATGCACGTTCCTTGGTGTAATTTAGGGTTGCTTTGGGCCTTGGGCCTAAGATGAAGTGTAACATGATTAGATAACGTATCTCGTCTGGGGCGAGATCCTCGGGGATCAATTATGATTCACCTACATACCAAGCTGATGTCACGCGGCGCGCGTTCCGAGGTCAGCTTGCATTGTGGTGCCGAGCTTGGAGCTCGGTTACACAGTACGGTCAGTACATATTATATATTATATTTGTAACAATGTAAGAGAAAAAAAAAGGTAAGAGAAATTTAAAATATACAATTTAATTAGCATTAGTTGAGAATAATAAATATAAGGGTCCAAAGAAAGCTTTCGTTTTCTAAGGGAACCAATTACAACGTAGTACATAATGATCTTATCCAGACAATTTTGTAAGTCTTATATAAACGATCAGCCATGACTATTATCGCTAGATAGAGAATCTGAAATTATTATTGTGTGGTTACAAATACTGATAGGAAAAGGTTGAATAAGTCTAATACAAAAAAAGAAGGTTGAATAAGTTATTATTTATATACACAAACGAGGAGTAGTGTTTAACCATCAGCTGAAGGATATCTCTAGTACAAACCAAAAGACATACCAATTAAATTTAAAACTTTAGTTTTAATATTATATAGATGAATGCTCTATATTAAAAATCAATCAAATAACTTTTCTTAAAAAAAGAATTCAAATAACTTCATTAAAATATGTAACTTAATCCAAGTACCATTTATGACTCTAGTAATGGCGCGTAGAATTGAATAATTTAATAAAGAAAATACCCTAAAATTAAAGAAAAAGAGAAATACTAATAATCCTAAAAAAAAAGAAGAGAAATACTAATAATAAGTTCTTTTATATTTTCTTCTTCTTTTTAATACGCTATTTTTTATCGTGTAAAATTCATGTAAGCTTTACTGATTAAATAAGTGTTATTACTCATTTAGTAAGTCTCATTTTTTCAAACTAGTAAAATTTATATAAATTTCAGCTAATAAAAAAGTGTGTGTATATATAATAATAATAATAATAATAATAATAATAATAATAATAATAATAATAATAATAATAATAATAATAAATGCTTAATAGTTTATTGCTAGTACACTTCAGAAAGAAAAAAAAAAACATTTACATGCACTTTACTGAAAAAAAGGGAAAAAAATCGAGGTCACTTTCATATGCTACCTCTTTGCTTTCTTTGTTCTTTCTTTATTTTATGTAAACAAAAGGTGAAGGTATATAAAGAAATATATTCAATAAAAAAATATAAAGAAAATATAACAATATATTAATATGAGTTAACTCATCACCTCGTTAACGATTCATTCGATTATTTATGTCGTTGAAGTTCAAGTTATTTAACCCGCTACAATTTAGAGAGGGTATTGAATTTGTCGAGTCACTATTAAAATATTGGATTAAGGTCTAAGGAATCCTTCGGCTATCTTTTCTTTAAAAATTATAAAAAGTCATTAATTAATGGTTGACTTGGAGTTCATGGGTACCAAGAGATATAGGTAAGGTAACCGTTTGATACTGGGGCAAAGGCGGGATCATACTACTTATTATATTATTATATACAGGTACTTTCAGAAAGGGAAAAAAATATTTAATATTTTATGGACACAATTTTTTTTCCATCTTTCTTCCTCTTATATATATATATATATTCATTTAATTTCTAATTTTACTAGAATGCATTTGTAATTTTGACAATTAGATAAGTTTTGTGAAATAATAATAGAACAAGTATTTTAGCCTTGCAATAAGTAATTAGTTAAGAATGAATAAATTTTAGAAGAAGAATAATATGAAAATGAAATTGAATAAAGAATAATTTATTGGGTCCGGAGCATGATGTGAATATAAAGAAAGGGTTGAAATGGGTTTAACCAAGTGAAGAGGAATAGGTGTATAAAATGTATGAAGAGGGAGAAGGAAAATAATAAAAAAAATAAAGAAGGGGGGGCACACTGAAAAAGCAGTTTCCCGAATTAGTAAGTAATGACCGGAAAACCAGTGTGAGAAATACTGAAAACCGCCTTGTGTTGTAAGGTGTAACCATTAATACAACGTTGGTAGTAAGTAGTAAGTAGTAACACACAACACCAACACCAACACCAACACCAACACCCTTGTAAGTGGTAGCCATGAACGAACAATACTTATAGTTATAGCTTTAGAAACACAAAGACAGAGAGAGTCATGGCGTACCACAACCCCCAAGACCTTCCACTTCACCATTTCACAGAGCAAGACACCTCCTTGCTCTCCGACCCTAACTCCAAACCTCCCTCCGATCCTCACCACCCTGCGCCCAATTGGCTCAACAACGCCCTTCTCCGCACGCACTACACCCACAACAACAATAACAACTCCGACACCAACGTCGACGCCTCCAACAACGCCACCAACTTCCTCAACCTCCACAGTGCAGACTCCGCCCAATGGCTCCACCGCAACCAGAGCGAGGTCATCGACGACGTCTCCGGCGCCGTCGAGTTGAAGGGAGAGGCGGTCGAGTGGCAGAATGCCAGGCACAAGGCCGAGATTCTAGCGCACCCTCTCTACGAACAGCTTCTCTCTGCACACGTGGCGTGCTTACGGATCGCCACGCCTGTTGACCAGTTGCCAAGGATCGACGCTCAGCTCGCTCAGTCCCAGAATGTTGTCGCCAAGTACTCTGCCTTTCGACAGCCCATCGTTGGAGACGATAAGGAACTCGATCACTTCTTGGTACTATTTTCTTAATTCCATCTTTTTTTTCTTCCCCTCATTAATTACTATTATTATTTAATTATTCTTTTGCTATTATTTCCCCCTCTCTCTGTGGCTGTAATTTAGGACTTTCACTTTTTCCGTTGCTTTTTCAATTCAATCAAGTGTTCATGACAGAAACCGAAACAGACGTGGTTCCTTCCTTCCTTGCTTTCTCGGAGAATGAAATTAAAGTCAGATGTAGAATGATGCTTATTAATTCAAGTTAAATAGATTGGAAGGAATTTGACTTTTTTCAGCTAATTTTATTCCCAATTTGACATTTCAAAATGTTAAGCGTGGGAAGGACTTTCTCTTTTTCTTCTTCTGCCTCGGATGCTTTTACTTTTACACTCTCCTCTCGTGTCTTTTGGATCTTGATTATATATTTGTTTATTTCGTGCTTATTTCAAGCTGGGGTAGACCCTATTTGGCATGATTTTGCTTAAACTTATAATTTTGGTGTTTTGTTGATTCATGTTGCAGTCGCACTATGTTTTGTTGCTGTGTTCTTTCAAAGAACAACTCCAACAGCATGTCCGGGTTCATGCAATGGAAGCAGTAATGGCGTGTTGGGAGATCGAGCAATCCTTACAAAGTCTAACAGGTACAACCTTACTCTTTTAGGTGATGGTTACATCTCAACATAAAAATAAAGGTTGCTTCCATCATAAACTAAAATGGAAATCACTTATGTTCCTGCTATCAGTGAACCAACCTCTAATTTAATTTACTCACATAAACAAAATATTTTAGTTGTTTACCACCAGTTTTTAGAAAACTGCAAATACCAAAATTTAAATGGAAAGAAATCTCAAATATTTTATAGGAAAATAGACGCAACTTGTGCTGCTGCTGCTGTATGTTTGTGGTTCACCATACGGTCTCGGGTTGGGAACTTGTGACAGTAGTTTCTGTAAATTAATTCAGATTCAGGGTACTCCACTTAAGTTCTCGAAATCAGGGATTTTTACCTTCCGTGAGTTGTAACTTCAAGTTCAAATTTTTTTACAAGTTCAACTATCAGTGTAATAATAAATGATATGCAAGTCCTTAATGGTTGATGGACCGAAAGGAACATGGCTACAGGGGTAAAATTTTTTGCTGGGTCTGGATTTGGGAAACTTTCAAATCTTGGCTTAACTTTATTAAAATTGAAACATATATAACCAAATAGTGAGAATATACCAAACTCGCACTCAGTGTCTCAGATTGAATGATGACAATTTATGTGTTATAAGAAAGTGTTGAATACTTTAAAGTGCAGTCCATATATTTGGCACGTTACGTAGTGATAAACCTTTTGGTTAGATTAGCTAACTTTTTGAGCAGAGATAAAGAGCAAAAGCACGAGTCTATTTTGTAATTGGAGGAGTACTAAAGTGATGAGATTTAACAGGAGTTTCACCCGGGGAAGGTACGGGAGCAACAATGTCTGATGATGAAGATGATCAAGTAGACAGTGATGCTAATCCGTTTGATGGTGGTTTGGATGGTCCTGATAGCATGGGATTCGGTCCTCTGGTTCCCACAGAGAACGAGAGGTCCCTCATGGAACGTGTAAGGCACGAGTTAAAGCACGAATTGAAACAGGTAGGGGATTAAATGTTAATAGCTTTCAAAGTCTGCCTTCGAGTCCCATCATTTTGAATCTCTTCCCACGTGATTGACTTTCAATTTTATTTTTTATATAATTATTACGTAGGGTTATAAAGAGAAAATTGTGGACATAAGAGAGGAAATTTTACGCAAGAGACGAGCTGGGAAACTTCCCGGTGACACCACCTCTGTCCTTAAAGCTTGGTGGCAATCACATTCCAAGTGGCCTTACCCTACGGTAAAAACTCACTATTCACTTTACTACGTTTTTTGAGAAAACCCTTTTCGAAATACATAAAATAAAATTGAACGAATCCATATCCTTAAAGTATTTGTTCTACAATTCAAAGCGAAGGAATAAGTACAAGTATTTTACACATTTGTTCATGCACTTAGTCCGCATGTTCGAACTATTGACCATTGACCATTGACCAAATGACCATAATATGTGGTTTAGACTTTAGAGGTTCTAAATTGAAGCTACTCCAGGAGATTTTTATCAGTGATCTTTTCAAATTAATATTAAATGCTGTCTTAAAATTGATTAATGTTTTTGCTCACCTTTAACTATGACATGTTTTCTCAAATGATCTGGTCGAATTGATAAAACTACGCTCTTGGAAGTGGCTGAAAGCTAAAGATCTTAATTTTTACTATCCGTTCTCTTGTTGGTTAAGGGAACCTGATGCATGTCTTAATCTTTATTAAGTTAACTGTATATGGGTTGGAGTACCCCTTGTACTCACTTTTAATATATTTCATTTTGCCTAGCAAAAAAAAACTATGACATGTTTTTTCAGGAGGAGGATAAGGCACGGTTGGTGCAGGAAACTGGTTTGCAGTTAAAGCAGATCAATAATTGGTTCATCAATCAAAGGAAGAGGAATTGGCATAGCAATCCTTCAACTTCTACTGTCTTGAAGAGCAAGCGCAAAAGGTATCCATATTAGTAAAATACTGTACGTCCTTATATTAATCTAAGAGAATTCTTTTTATAGCATCTAGAGAAATGTTAACAACATTATAACACATTCTTGAATGCATTCTTTATTATTTATTAAAATTTATTAAAAATTACAAAACTTTAAAGATCTCATTTCTTATTTAATGAACTTCACTCACAATATCATGTATTCAACATTATCACAATTTTGTTAGAGAATGTATTGTTATTAGTACTATGCTTAATTTAAAATATGAATGAGCTTTGCACCAATCTTAATTTAAAAAGAAGGAATGCAGGTGATAATGGTGCTGATAATAACACGTAAATGGAGGAAAGCTCGAGAACCAATCCCTCCCTGTCGTCTGTTACTTCGTTCTCTGCGGTCAACCATGGTGCATGGCAAGAGATTCAAGTAAAGTCAACGAGGAAAACAAAAAAAAAAATCACTTTTTGCTTCTGCTCAAGGAACAGGCTTAACACAGAAGAGGACCTTTAAAAGCCTGGAGTAGCGGCATCAAAATTAGGGAGTTCGATTAGGAATTATATACCCATATCAAATTAGGTAACTCCATGGGAGCATGATTTATAGTCTCATATGTTATTGTTTGTGAAATATATATAATAGTGAGGGTTTTGGGTGTATAGTAATAATCTGAGCATTTTTCCTTCAATCATGCTAATTTTGTTTTTTGTTATTCTTAAATTGGGTGTTGATCACGTGGTGCTTTGATCTTGTTTTCTTCAAATATTCTTCTAATATTTAGTAAAGAAAAATATTGAATGAAAACAAACAAATATATTTAATATATTTGAAGCAAGGAAATATATAATAATTCTTATTTAATTATTATAGGAATGATTAGGAGGAATATAGAGTTAAATTTGTGGTAGAAAGGAAATTTGGTGAGTTGGCATATGGTGTTGGCTTGTTACTCCTACAAGTGATTGTAAAGTCATAATCATGGTATGGAATGAGTTGGTGAAATTAGGAGGGTGAAAACAGAGTTCATAAATTCTTAGGAATGTCTGGTTGGAATGTAAATGCTGGTGTGGTGGGTTTATGACTGTGCACGTATTTATATAGTTTGGAAAAGTTCGGATGGAACAGACAGACAGATTGACAGAGCCAACAGAAATAAATCCTTTTTTTTAATATATATATATATAGAGAGAGAGAGAAATAAATGACTCTTAGCAGTGCATTTTTCAAGTGGTCCCATTTGTGAATTGTTCTTTGCAGTCATTGTTGAGTGTAACAGTATTGAGAGCGTAGACAATTAGTAATACTAAGTATCATAATAATTACGAATTTGCGTTTTTTTTAACTACTCACAATGAATTTCGTACTTGGAATATTGATTTTGAATTAAATAAATGTTTTTAAATGTTAAGTATAAATGATTACATTAATATATATAATATTTGATAGCATAGTTTTACTCGGTCACAGATTAAATTTATAAATTAGTTTAGTTTTGAAAATATTATCAAATTAAACAGTGAGAAAAAAATTTGGAAAATATAAATGAAATTTACCGTACAATTTAAGAAAATAAGTTTTATATATATGACCTTCAACGAGAGCGTCGAGGTTTGTATTCGACCTCGGAATGTCGAGGTTCGGACTCGACCTCAAATTTGAGATAGGTTATTTAATTAAGGTTCAAATTTGACCTTCAACGAGAGCGTCGAGGTTTGTATTCGACCTCGGAATGTCGAGGTTCGGACTCGACCTCAAATTTGAGATAGGTTATTTAATTAAGGTTCGAACTCGACCTTTAA